ATCTTAGTAAGGCATATATTGAGATGGCATAGCTGCCCCAAATTGGGGCCCCCAATCTGAGACCTTGATCTCAGTAAGGCATATGTTGGGATGGCATAGCTGCCCCAGTCATGATAACCGATCTCACCGACCCCATCATCTTCATCAATTCTACGGTGTTACAAATTGTAACAAATTTGCTGCCGTCAAGACGAAAAACTCTTCCTAAGTAATTTTCGGGAGCGTCATGCCTATAACCCGCGACCCGATCCCCACTTCGCAAGGGTGGCAATCAACAGTCGCACTACCGGTCTCGCCTATTGAATTGAGTCATTCCTATTCTCCACAGAATAGGATCGCCTCCGGCGAGGCCTCCAAGTAGGCAGTTTTATTTCAGCCAGTAGATCATTCGGACACATTTTGTACCATACACTGTCGCACATCCGGTTTCAGCGGCCGTTTCCTCATTCATAGCCACGCTCTGGCTATGATTGTACCGACCAGGCTGGTTACCCTTTTGGGTTAGAAAACAAACCAACAAGCGACCATTCTCATCCTATTATCGCGATGGCAATTGACCTACTCCTTAGAGCTTTGGCATGACGACTTTTTTGATCGCGTAAATGAAGTTGGCGAAATTGGTTTATTACAAGCAGAAGAGGTTATTGCAAGCAGGGACTGCGAGAGCCATGCACAGCTTGTTATTCCAAGCAGCGCGGTGTGCTTGGGATTACAAGTAACTATTGTAACTTGCTTCGCCGATAATATAAAATCTGTTACATACTGCGTCAACTTTATGTTTTCGTTGTCAAATGGAGCACAATCAAGGCACATTCGTGCTCTGTCCTTCAAAGCAGCAACACCAGGTATATCCCTCAATCAACTCGGAGCTGAACAGTATCCGCATATATCATGAAACATTTTTTACATTCATTTCGCAACGGGATGTTCTTTTAGGAATGGCAGTTGACATGAAGAAGTATTGATATCCGTTATCATCGTATTGACAGGTACACTAATACCCAGGTCACAAGCTGCAGACTTTGGGGTCCAATTCATACAAATCACCAGTGATCAGCCACTGGCCAGATTAAACCTGAGACCTTCCTTGAGGTGTAGAGAATACTCATTCTGCAGATGATTCCTCCTGTATTCCTTACTTTGCTCTTCGGATGAACGAGGACTTATGTTCCCTTCATTCTGCCAAGCGACGCTCGGAATAGATTCATTCCGGAATTGCATCGACGAGCAGCTTGCGCTCACCGAGCTTGCTTCATCACTGTTTGCTTCGTCGTCTGGCGGCATTGCGGTATCAAACCCCGTGTCACCTTCTTGCCAGTCACCATCGTCTATATCATTTGGGAGGCCTGAGTCATCAACCTATGGTGTGTAAGCACTGCTAACAACGATCGTATTTTATACTGCGCCGAGCTCGTAACATCCCGATTCTCCTGACGAATTGCTACCTTGTAATAGAGATTCCCCATCGTTGACCGAGGCAGTTGCAGTTCTACCACTCCAGTGGGAACTACCTTCGAGGGATGCTATCGAGCGCACTCGTCCTAAAAACAGAGCATCTTATGCCCCACATGGCCGGCAATCCCTTGCAAAAGTTCACCATGCCTGGCATGCACGACAAGATAGAAAAGTCTGAGAAACAATCTTGTTGACATAATCACTGCTATCTTTCCCATAGGGAGTCCACACTCAATTGATATGTAACCATTAAGACATCATGTGTTTACGTCTTTCTCCAATGCTAGATTCCGAGTCTATGCCATCACTGTCGCCTGCATAAGTCTCCTGTCTTATCTGGTCCCGGTGAACAGAGACAGGAACTGCATGACGGTCATTAACAATGCGAGTTGCGTTATCCTCATGTCACCTGCACGTGGCGCCGAAGCAGCAGAATGATACCGACCAAGAGCACCGACCCGTCGCCTTGTTGGGCGGCCTCTACGGACAGTGGGGAGTCCCCGATTCTCTGGATGATATCTGATGTGAACGGCAAATGTTAGACAGGCATAAAGTGGCAAACCTACGGGTCCTGCGTGCCCCTGAGCACTTCCACTGCGTACCCATGAGAGCATGTCCCCCAGTCACGCCAGCTTTTACAGGTACACGACACTATTGCGGACTCACCGCTAAGTCGATGATCACCAAGGGGAGCCCTCGAGGGTGAATCAGGTTGAAAGCTGAAAGTACGTCCGCATCAAGATTTCCAGTGTAGGGGCATCATCTGAAAGAACAATATACATCACCTTTCACGAGCTGGACCTTCTAAAAAGAGCGCGGTGTGCGATCAGCACTGTTTCATTTGAGTTACTCGAATTGAGTAGCTTACCAGTCGAGAAGTCATCCAGGAGAACCCCTCTGAGGAACTTTTCGATCACGCGATCGTTGTCAAGATCGTCTGCTGCACGGAGGCTTTTGATAACAAAGAAGTCACTGCTCAAGTTTCCCTCCAGTATTTCTTGTACCATGTCCGTTACCTGCAGTTGTGTTCGAAACACGGCGGAGATTGTATCCAGACAACGGTAACGTCCTTACATCTATCACTGCATTACTCGCTGCCAAGCTTGTTCCCCGAATCCGCGCTGTGTCCTTGTATTTTATGTGATTTATCACCTCGGGCCTTCTAACGAAGTGTTGTGGGCTGGAACCTCGTAGCGAATTCACCATCTGTAGCCAACGATCGGAAACATATAAGTTTGTTTTGCTCCCAGCCACTGGGATCCAGCGAAGCTGTTCGCTTCTACCTGTTTAATGCGAGTAGCGAGAATGGGCATTCGCAGCCGATTGCTCCCGAATATCCTGCATTGTGTTCGGTGGAACGCTTCAACGACGTTGTTTAACACCTGGTCGAGCGGTTTTTCATGCTTACAAGTTCGTGGTGTGGTTTCAGTCAAACCGGCTCACCTGAGCACAGCGCAGTCCCTCGGATGTGATTGCGATATTTGGATAGCCGTAGCGCTCCACATCCAAAGTGTTCTCGAGGTAAACAGCGGCATCATGGTCGATCAGCTCCACCTCTTCAATGAGAGCAGCAGAGAGCATCTCATACAGTTCGTCCGTAGGACACGCATGAAGAAAGAACTTATGCCGTTTCACCTGCAAACATGACACAGCATTGCCAGCATTGGAGAGTGAGGTTAGAGAGCCTGGTTGTTATTGGATAACAGCCTACCAGGTCGTATGCCTCGCCGAGCCTCGACTTGTTTTCCTTGATATTTTTGGACAAGTGGAAGTAACAGCGGCCTGACGCAAACCTTTTTATGTACATTTCCTGGAATTTTAGCATCAATACTCATCTCTCACCATTCCTGACACCAGGTAGATAATCCTCGCAAGCACGTATTGCGCCTTGGTGAGCGTCATGAAGACACATAGTCACAACATCGCCCAGCTGTCGCGTATTATCCGTGAGCAGCTTGACGAGCTTATCCAGCTCGGCTAGGAGGCCGTAGTACGTGTCGTAGCACTCCTCGTCGCAAATCGCCATAAGGAATGGAACAAACGTATGGTGCGCCTCGTTACGGCGATTATACCTTGGAGTATTAAGAGTGCACTACGACTGATCGATATAATACTCTTCTTACCACACGCGTGTTGTTCCTATCCAAGCAACCTTGAGACTGCCACGGATTATCTTGTTTTGCGCATCCATATACAAGGGAAAGCCGGAGGGGCAACTTCTGATGAACCAATAGAGGGAAGAAATCATACCTGAGATAGGTTGCGGTTGTGCGCACGATACAGATACCGATACCCAACTACACCATACAGACCCGTCATACGGTTACTCGAAAACTTTGAGTAGTCGTGTAGTCTCAAGAGTTGCGCTGAGATTGAGTGTATCATTCGGCTAGCATACCCGCTTCGGAGATGTTTCCAGCTCCTCCAAAGGTCGCTTGCTACACGATGAGGGCGAGGATGACAGAGAGGTACGATTCTGAGATATCTGAAACGACGATAGAGTTTCTTATCAATCAACACGAACGTAGACTCACTGAGGGAATACCTGTAATCGATTAGACCTCCTTCCAGGCGTGGGGGGACTCAACCCAACCGACTTGGCCTTGGCTCTGGCCCTCGCCTTCGACTTCGGCCGTGATTTCGGTTGAGTAGCAGCCTTAAACGCGGCTTGAGAGTTGGATTCCGCGAATAAAGATGCCTCGGGAGTTGCTGTAGGCGGGGATTGCAAGTGATCAGACTCAGCCTCAGCTGGGTGATCTGTTGCGCTCTCCACTGACTCAGCAGACGAGTCTCGGATTTTAAATTCAACCTCCTGAAACAACCATACTCTATAATATAGTCTACATTATATGGAGTATTTCGAAACGGATTACATGTCCGTTGGATACGAAACCTATTTCGGAAGTAATTCGAGTCAAATAATGTGACCTGTCCATGCTGTAGCAAAAACGCCATTGACAACCCGGTACCCTACTACATGGACCTTTTTCAAAGCCCCGATATGCGCGCTGAGAGCTTCAATCTGCAAATTCTGGGTATCCTGAAAGTAGGAGAAGCTAACTCCTGGCGTCCGACAATTTGAAGTACATGGTTCTTTTTCGCTTCAAGCAAGTCTTTTTTGGTAGCGTCCAACTCTTCTTGCAGCATCGCACCTATACATGGAGCACTACCAATAGATAGCACAGCAGCGAATGCTCAGAGAAAAGGCCCATACTTCGTGAGGACTTCCGGTCCAGCATCCTGCTAGCTCGCAACGTCTGTCTCAGTCTGACTAAGGACTTCGATGTTGTACGAAGTTTGTGAATCTGACGAAACCATTCGCTTAATCTAGACTACAAGTCGAGTTTGAAGGTGAAAACCTCTCCATCGCGAGCCTGAATACGCTCTTCCAACTGCATCGCTCTCTCATCAGCCACCCGGGCTGCTTTTTTCTGTACCTCGGCATCATCTTCCGCTTGCTGTCGAGCTTGTAATTCTGATTTATGAGCCTATAATGTGAAAAGCATGAGCATGCGATAGCTGTCTGATACCATCTCACGTTAAGAGCCTGTATCAGGTTACAGCGAGTCTTTTCGAGCTCCTTACTTGTATAGTCGCACCTGAACCACCTCATCGCTCGTGCTGAAGCAGGATAGATCACCTCATCATAGTACATTCCAAGTCGGCTATTAACATAGCGATCCCTTCATAAGCAATCGAGTCTTTCCACTCAACAATGGGACTCTCATCTAACACTGCCTAAAGGATCGAATGAATACCCTACTAAACAACTACAGCTCGAGCACCTGCACACAGACCGCAGTTCCGGGGGATTGCTTCGCTTGGATGCCATCCTCGAGTTTCTTACCATCCCTAATGAGATTGAGGCACTCCTAAGCCTCATGGTGTTCCCATTACAACCGAGAGATTTCTCCCTGAAGTCTCTGCAACTCCGCTCTGGTAGCCTCATGTTCTTCTTTCTATGATTGTGATAAAGATCACGATTTTAGTACAGTGGTTTCCCTACCTGCCGAGCATTCATGCGCTTGCGACGCTCTCCTCTCTTGTTGCCCATCAAATCGGAGAAGCACGATAATTCGGACACCAGGCTCACGGAACAAAAATATTAGCGGATCCGGAAACTCAACGTAACAGTACTTGTACCACATACATGAAACATGTTGACTTGAAAACACGGACTTCATATTGGTCTACCTAAACTCCTCGCTAAGTACCTCTTGCTAAGTCTGCGGTGACCTCAAGGTCGACACCCGACCATCAAAGGAGAGCCCTTGGCACACTCGCTTGCTACTTCGAGATCTACTTCCGTCAGCGACACAATTACAATCGAAAGCTGGGAAAACAAAAAAATGGGGAGCAAACTCTCGGTAAGCCGTCGATGTGCTCAAAGCTGACACCCAGTAATACTAGGGAAAGCCCTTGGCACACTCGCTTCCTACTCCGAAGTTCACCTCCAGCAGTGAAAAAATGGGGAGAGCAAACTCTCGGTAAGCCGTCGATGTGCTCAAAGCTGACACCCAGTAATACTAGGGAAAGCCCTTGGCACACTCGCTTCCTACTCCGAGGTTCACCTCCAGCAGTGAAAAAATGGGGAGAGCAAACTCTCGGTAAGCCGTCGATGTGCTCAAAGCTGACACCCAGTAATACTAGGGAAAGCCCTTGGCACACTCGCTTCCTACTCCGAGGTTCACCTCTAGCAGTGAAAACAAAAAAATGGGGAGCAAACTCTCGGTAAGCCGTCGATGTGCTCAAGGCTGACACCCAGTAATACTAGGGAAAGCCCTTGGCACACTCGCTTCCTACTCCGAGGTTCACCTCTAGCAGTGAAAACAAAAAAATGGGGAGCAAACTCTCGGTAAGCC